GTGTGCATTAGAACCTGCAGATGTAAAAAATTGCTCTTATACATTCTGGTACATGTCCTGATTAAAAAAATCAGATAGAAACCAAAGAGTTTCTTTGGAGGTACTATATATCCAGGAGTGGGATTTTGGGATCAGGGAGCATATATATATACATATACATTATATATATACATTATTTCACTAGGTAATGGCAAATTGCTTTCTGGATTGATTATACCAGTTTACACTTTTTTTTTTTTTTTTAACTTACCTTTATTATGGAATGTATTACAGATGTTCCTCCTTTTTCCCCTATTGACTCCCTCCTCCTCGCTCCTGCACCCCTCCTGCCTTTCCCCACATTGTTGTCTGTGTCCATTGGTTATGCATATATGCATATAAGTTCTTTGGTTTCTTTCTTCCTGCCCCACCTCCCTCCTTCCCTTTGAAGTTTGTCAATCTAACAACCAATTTTTACTTCTTAATCCCTTCATCTTTTTCACCCATTTCTCCAAACCCCCTTTCATCTGACAACCAACAAAAAGTTCTTTGTATCTATGAGTCTGTTTCTGTTCTGCTTGCTCATTTTGTTTGTGGATTCAATTGTTGATAGATATGTATTTATTGCCATTTTATTATTCATATTTTTTTATCTTCTTCCAGAAGACCCATCAACATTTCATATAATACTGGTTTGGTGGTGATGACTCTTTTAGCTTTTTCTTGTCTGGGAAACTTTATATGTCCATTGATTCTAAATGATAGCTTTGCAGGATAAAATAATCTTGGTTGTAGGTTCTTGTTTTTCATCACTCTGAATGTTTCTTGCCACTCCCTTCTGTCCTGCAAAGTTTCTTTTGAGAAATCAGCTGACAGTCTTATGGGAGCTCCATTGTAGGTAACAGACTGCTTTTCTCTTGCTGCTTTTAAGATTCTCTCTTTGTCTTGAACCTTTTGCATTTTGATGATGATGGTGTCTTGGTGTGGGCCTCTTGGGGTTCATCTTGTTTGGGACTCTCTGTGCTTCCTGAACTTGTATGTCTGTTTCCTTCACCAAGTTAGGGAATTTTTCTGTCATTATTGTTTCAAATAGGTTTTCAATTTCTTGCTCTTTCTCCTCTCCTTGTGGCACTCCCATGACGTGATTGTTGGTACACTTGAAATTGTCCCACAGGCTCCTTATACTGCCCTCATTTTTTAAATTCTTTTTTCTTTTTGCTGTTCTGATTGGGTGGTTTTTTGCTTCTTTGCATTCCAAATTGATGGTATGTTTCTTGGCTTTACCTACTCTACTATTGATTCCCTGTAAATTATTCTTTATTTCAATTAGTGCATCCTTCATTTCTGAATAGTCCTTTATCATGCTTTTGAGGTCCTCATTCCTTGAAATTCTCACTAAGTTCATTGCGCATCCTTATAAGCAGTGTTTTGAACTCTATACATTTGTTAGATTGCTTATCTCCATTTCATTTAGTTCTTCTCCTGGAGTTTTATTCCATTCTTTCATTTGTTTCTTTGTCTCATTTTGGCTGCCTTCCTGTATTTGTTTCTATGTATTAGGTAGAGTTGCTATGTCTCCTAGGCTTCCTAGGGTAGCCTATTATAGTAGGTATCCCGTAGGGTCCAGTGGCACAGCCTCCCTGATCATCCCAGCTGGACCGTCAAGGTGCACCCCTCATGTGGACTTTACACTGTTCTGTTGTAATTGACTCTTGATTGCTGTTGGCACATCAATGGGAGGGATTTATTCAGGCTGATCAGTTGCAAGGACTGGCTGTGCCCACTGACCACTGACCTCTGACTACCTTGATTGATCAGCTGTACAGTGGCCCACCACACAGAGCAAGACTTACTTCAGCAGTGCTCTGGTATCCCTAGTCCATTCCTTGAGTGTGTCACTTGTGGAGGAGGTTGAGTGGTGGTGCTTCGATGTGGTCTGGAGTTGTCCACTGGGTGTGCTGGCTCTGGAGCAAGGTCAGCCACTGCCTGTGTTCTACCTGGGGCCACCAGGCATAAGCTACAAAGCAGTCTTCTGATGGCTGCTTCTTGTGCTGGGCTTGGAGGTGTCCAGGCAAAGCCAAGCTGTGAGCCAAGGCTAGCTGCTTCTAGTGCAAGGCCTGAGACCACTTAGTGAGATGTATGGGTCTCACTGAGACCAGATGCTGCTTGTTTGAGAGAAATTTGAAGCAAGAGCCCAAACTAACCAATCCTATGGTAAAGCCAGTGGAAACAGCTTGGTGGGTCCGAAAGTTGGGCAGGGCAGGGCCTCAGGGAATCACCAGGGTAAGGGAAAACAGTGTGAGCCAGGTTGCTGAAGTCCCAGATATGTCGCATGTCAGCTGGTCCTGTGGGGGAAGAGCTCACCAAAGGAACAATGGCCTTCGACAGCAGGTCTGTCTGGGAGACAGCTGCCTCTCCACCCTCGTCCCGATGCCAAACAACTCAGTTGTTCCCTGTATGTCTCTGGTGCCTTTCAATCTGCCTTCCCAGTGCTGGAGCCCAGAAGGAGCGAGTCCAAGTAAGTCTGTGCTTGCCCATAAAGAGGTACTGCCTGGGGTGTCAAAAGCCTCCGCCCCCCTCAGCCTCAGTTCCCACTGGTTTTTACAACCAGAAGTTGCAGTACTTCTCTTCCTGGCACTGGAACTGGAGCTGGGAGCCTGGTGTAGGATGGGTACCCCTTGCTCCTCAGGGAGGACTTTCCCAGCTGAGGTAGCCCTCCTGATTTTTATCTGCTGCATGTGGGTATGGGACCAGCCCGTCCGCACCTCCACCCCTCCTACCTGTCTCCACATGGCTTCTTCTTTAATTTTGTAATTTTAGGACTTCCATTCAGCTCAATTTCAGGTGGTTCTGAAGGATGTTCTGTAGTTTAGTTGTAATTTTGGTATGGTTGTAGGAGGAGGCGAGTACCACATTTACCTATGCTGCCATCCTGACCGGAAATGCAAGCTTTCTTAATTACTTTTTTCCCTTAACATTTATAACTTTTTAAAAAAATCCTTACCTGATGATATGTTTTCATTGATTTTGGAGAGAGAGGAAGTGGGGGAGAGAGAGAGGGAGAGGGAGAGGGAGAGGGAGAGGGAGAGAGAGAGAGAGAGAGAGAGAGAGAGAGAGAGATTGAGATTGAGAGAAACATCAATGTGAGAAATATTGATCTGCTGACTCCAGTAAGCTCCCCAACTGGGGATCAGACCTGCAACCTAGGTATGTGCCCTGACTGGGAATCAAACCCAAAACCTTTTTGGTGTATGGGACAACAGTCCAACCAACTGAGTCACCTGGCCAGGGCTATAACATTTTTTTTAATTTTCTCTAATTTATCTGCTGTAACGATATAATTACAATTCTTTTAGGGACTCCTTTTGTTTATTCTATTAATGGTATTTCCTTGGGTTAATTATTGCATTGGTTGAATTTAGTCACAGGGATAGTTTTCTTTAAATAGTCACAGTTCTTTTTTTTTTTTGGTTACTCCTCACCAGAGGATATTTCTCCATTGATTTTTTTACATGGAGTGGAACGGGGGCGGGGGAGGGGAGACATCAATGTGGGAGAGACACACATTGATTGGTTGTCTCCCGAATGACCCCAACCAAGGCCGGGGATTGAACCTGCAGCCCGGGTACGTGCCCTTGACAGGCAATCGAACCTGAGGCCCTTCAGTCCTCAGGCTGATGCTCTAACCACTGAGCCAAACAGACCAGGACTAAATAGTCACAATTCTTATGTGTGTGTTTGCATTTACTTTTGGGAATCCTTGTTTGCGCTTTTGTGGATGGAGTTTTTGTTTTTTTTGTAGCCTGTTGCCATTGATTGTGGATGAGTGGTAAGTTGTACAGCCAGTGAAATGTCAGCAATTTATTTTCTTTCTGCCTCTCTATCCCAAACTACTTTTTCTAGTTGCAGAGGTGAGTGCCTCTGGTGCCTGATGAATAGCTTAAATGGGGATGAAGATATGCAAAAGGTCAATCATTCTCCTGCTACCCATATCTACATTCTTTAAACTTGGGGTGCCTCAAAGCTGCTCCCAAATTTCACAGTGTATATTTTTCTCCTTTATATTTTTAGTCCTATATTTTCTTCAATCAATCTACTCCCACCTACCTACATTTTTTAGAGACCCTCAAAATTTCTGGCTACTGAAGGCATCCTTCATGATTGCCAGCATTCTTATGTTTATATTAAAATACAAACACACAAAACCTTTTCTGTCATTTCCAGAGATTCGGGTAGGGAGGGAATGTAGGTGCCTGTTCTTAGTACATTATCTTGATCTAATATCTCCATACCATATTTTAAAAATGAAAACATGAAAGAGGCTAGAAATATGAGAGTGGGAAGAAATATATTTAAATATACATGTGCAGTAGACTCTCTTCACTGCCCAACTCAGCAGGCATTTCCTTACCTTTTTGCCTGCAAACTAAACCTCAATGTTATACCAGATGGAAATCACCTGATATCAGATAACTTGCTCTAAATCCTGACATGAAGGAATAAACTATGATCGGTCAAAACTATTCATAGTAGTCCTTTTTCCCTTTACCAGCTGTTGGTCTCGGGACAGACATGTAACCCAATTAGGGTCAATGAAATGTAAAGGAAAGTTATTGGAGCAGGGATCTGGGATCTTCTCTTCTTGAATAATAAAACAGAACCTTAAGAGGAGAAATGCCCTTTGTTCTCAATCCTTTTTCCCCTCTAAGGAAGTGATACCTGAATCTGCAATGGCTATCTTGTGATACTGAGATACAAGCACAAGAAATGAACCAAGAATAATGAAATGGGCAAGGTACTTAATGAAAAACACTGAGCTGTTGAATGACTTCTGATTAAGGAAACAATAAATGTCCTTATGGTTCAAGTCATTTTTTCTGATTTTTTTTTTTTTTTTTTTACTTTCAGCTGTGTTTGAATACATCGTTTAAAGAGATATTATTTTTCCTAATAATATTCTAAACTAGTATAGATGAAACTCTACTTCTAATATCTCTTATATTTCACTTTTTTCCCCTCAGAATTAAACCTGGATGGGCAGTCAAGTATCTCAACTGGTTCAACAGATGAATCTAACATTGGAATCTCAAAGAATATTGTGGTTAGAAAACCTGCAAACATGGTTTTCAATTTAGATCAAACTGTACTGGATTCAAAGCTAGAACAACCATGGACGAAAAATCTTTTTGAAAGAGTGGAGGCAAGAGCTCAAGTAATGCAGCAGAAAATAATAGATAAGGATAATCTGAAGAAAGAATTAGAAAAAAAAGCTGAGAAAAAAATCCCTAAGGATAATTTGGCCCAAGAGTGGTTTAATACTGAAAACATGACACTAAACACTCGTGTATATTTGCTTGACAAACTTCTACCCACCTTGGTTGTTGGAGTGGAAAATATGTTAATGCAAGTGGAAAAAAAGAAGTTATTGTCAGAAGCTGATATTCCAACTAAGTTTGATCCAATTAATTATTTGGGGGAATACTTAATGAGAAACAATCCTTATTATAACAAAGACTCAGGAATGTCTGGTTATCAGAGGGTGATGAGAGATGTTACAGAAGATCTGAAGATACATGTTACCAACACTGTCTGCAACAGGTATAATTTGTTATATTTTCAGTTGATGATATAGCTCCTTACATTGAAAAGCACATAGAACAATAATATATCTATGCAAACTTAAAAGGACTTAAAATAAGGTGGCTCTCTCTATGGAGCACGCCACATCTCTCCACTGTCCCCCAGTCTCCCTCTCCCTCTCTCACCAGAGGATGCCTGAACCTCTCCCTCTCTCTCTAGAAGATGCCTGAACCTCTCCTTGAGAGAGGAGAGAATGTCTTTCCTCTCTCAAGGCGAGTCAGTTTCTCCCTTCTTCTTCTTCTTCTTCTTCTTCTTCTTCTTCTTCTTCTTCTTCTTCTTCTTCTTCTTCTTCTTCTTCTTCCTTCTTCCTCCTCCTCCTCCTCCTCCTCCTTCTTCTTCTCCTTCGTCTTCTCCTTCTTCTTCTTTATATTCTTCTTCTTCTTCTTCTTCTTCTTCTTCTTCTTCTTCTTCTTCTTCTTCTTCTTCTTCTTCTTCTTCTTCTTCTTCTTCTTCTTCTCTTCTTCTTCTTCTTCTTCTTCTTCTTCTTCTTCTTCTTCTTCTTCTTCTCTTCTTCTTCTTCTTCTTCTTCTTCTTCTTCTTCTTCTTCTTCTCTCTCTCTCTCTCTCTCTCTCTCTCTCTCTCTCTCTCTCTCTCTTTCCCCTAAGCTCCAAAGGCCCTATTCTTTTGCTATAACTTGTTTCCTGAGCCTATTTCTTCTTTGGCTTACTTCTACCTCTGTAACTTTCTAAATAAACTTTTTCTTATAATTTAAAAAAAAGGGACTTAAAATAAGTAATTTTATAGTTACTGGAAAAGTATTTATTGAGCTACTAATATATGCTTCACTATTTACGAGGCACTAGTGAAGACCAGTGAAATATATTAAATAAGTTTCTTGTATTCATAGATTTAGTTATCTCTCTAGAATCCCAAGTGTCTGTCTCTTAGCTCTGGAAAGTAAATGACATGAGTTGAGAATAGAGACTTTTTTAAAATTTAACTTTTCAGTTAAGCTACATAATCACCTGGTTCAAAAGCCAAAATAGTTTACAGTGAAAATATATCGTTAGTTATCCTCCATCTACCTAGTACTCCACCTCTGCTGTAACTAACTTCTGTTCTTAGTTTTCATTTTTGTTGTTGTTGTTAATCCTCACCCAAGGATATTTTTCCATTGATTTTTACAGAGAGTAGAAGGGAGGGAGAGAAAGAGAGAGACAGACAGAGAAACATCACTGAGAGAGAGACACATTGATTGGTTGCCTCCTAAACGACCCCAACCAGGGCGAAGGATTGAATCTACAACCCAGGCATGTGCCCTTGACCAGAATTGAACCGTCACAGGCTGAAGCTCTAACCACAGCAAAACTGGCTAGGGCTGTCCTTAGTTTTCAATGGCTCCTTCCAAAGTTTCTTTATGCATACATAAGTAAATGCAAATATGGATACTTAATTTTCTTCCTTTTATACAAAAACATGTGAATAAGTTACATTTTTCTGTTTTTCACCTGCCATTTATCTTTTGTCATGAAGCTGATTTTTTTTTTTTATTTCTACATGGTTGAATTTATTTACTTTTATTTTATGGCTTCCAGATTTTGAGTCATTGTTACATTTCAAGATATTAAAAGAATTCTCCTGTCTTTTCTTATTATTATTTTTTAAACTTTGTTGTTGTTTTCTTTTAATTTTTTTTTTCTTTATTGATTTTTAGAGAGGAAGGGAGAGGGAGAGGGAGTTAGAAACATTGATGAGAGAGAACATTGATTGGCCACCTTCTGCATGCCTCCCATTGGGGATCAGACCCACAACCTGGGCATGTGCCCTGACTGGGAATCTAACCGGCGACCTCTTGGTGCATGGGTCAATGCTCAACTATTGAGCCACACCAGCTGGGCTTCTATCTTTTCTTCTGAAATTATATTTTAATTTTAAATATTGAGCCATTTGTTAAGTAGATAAATAAATACATACATAAATATTGAACCATTTAGAACTTATCTTAGGGTAAGATGTAAGATATGGATCCAACTTTATCATTTTCTAAATGGCTACATACTGATCCCAATAATACTGCTGTACTGTTTGTAATGAACCTTTATTACTAAATTCATATATATATTTTGGAGTGTATTTTGGGGTTTTTCTGTCCTATTCCACTAGTCTATCTCCCTTTTTATGCACCAGTACTCTGCTTTAATTATTGAGACTTTTGAATATATTTCAATAAATCTGACTGTGCTAGTTCCTATTATTTGTTCTCTTTTTCTGATCACTCCTGTATGTTCTTGTTTACTTTGTGTGTGTGTGTGGGTGTGCTCTTTAATAGGAACTTTAGGACTGATTCATTTACTTAAAGGAGGGTAGGGAGAGGAGGGAGACCACTAAAAAACCTTAAAGGAATTTTTATTGAAATCTGATTAAATTTATTCATTAACTTAAAGAAAATTAACACCTTTAATCCTGACAAGTGTTTCTATCTGAGAACATGTCTTTCTATTTATTCATTATATTTTATATCCATCAGTGTCTTAAAGTTTTTTTTCATAGATTTGTATCTTTTATTAGAATTAATACTAGTTATTTTATCATTTTTTGTTGCCATTGAGATTTTCTTCTTACATTACATTTTCTATCTAGATATACTTTGAATACATGAAAGCTATTAATTTCTGTATATTTTTGTACTTTGCTACCTTATTGAATACTCATTGTTTATAGTAAAATTTTAGTTGATTTCTTGGGTTTTCTAGAGAGACAACCATACTGTTTGTAAGCAATAGGAGTTTTCCTTCTTCCTTTTCAATTTTTGTATTTCTAACATCTTTCTCTTACCTAATTACATTGGCTATTACCTCCAATATGAGAATGGTGATATGGACATCCTTATCTTGTTTATGACTTTTAGTAGAATTGATCCTTGTATTAATTACTGTTTTACAATAAATAGTAATATATATATATATATATATATATATATATATATATATATATATATCTCCACAACTCCATTTGATCTGAAAAAGATACTTTTTATTTATTTTATTTGTCTATTTATTTATTTTTTAATCTTTATTGTTGAATGTTTACAGATGTTTCTCATTTTTCCCCCATTAACCCCCTCCTCCCCACTCCCTCCTCCCTCCCGCCTTTTCCCACACTGTTGTCTGTGTCCATTGGTTATGCATAAAAGTTCTTTGGTTTATTTCTTCCCACCCCCCAACCCCCTTCTCTTTGAGGTTTGTCAGTCTAGCAACCAATTTGTTCTTTTTAATCCCTTCACCTTTTTCACCCATTCCCCCAACCCCACTCCCATCTGGCAACCAACAAAATGTTCTCTGTATCCATGAGAATGTTTCTGTTCTGCCTGTTCATTTTGTTTGTAGATTCCATTGTCGATAGATATGTATTCATTGCCATTTTGTTTGTTCATATAGTTTATCTTTTTCTTCAAAGAGACCCCTCAACATTTCATATAATAATGGTTTTGTGTTGATGAACTCCTTTAACTTTTTCTTGTCTGGGAAAGTCTTCATATGGCTATCGATTCTAAACGACAGCTTTGCAGGATAGAGTAATCTTGGTTGTAGGTTCTTGCTTTTCATCACTCTGAATATTTCTTGCCACTCTCTTCTGGCCTGCAGTTTCTTTTGAGAAATCAGATGACAGCCTTATGGGAACTCCCTTGTAGGTAACTAACTGCTTTTCTCTTGCTGCTTTTAAGATTCTCTCTTTGTCTTGAACCTTTTGCATTTTGATGATGATGTGTCTTGGTGTGGGCCTCTTGGGGTTCATCTTATTTGGGACTCTCTGTGCTTCCTGGACTTGTATGTCTGTTTCCTTCACCAAGTTAGGGAATTTTTCTGCCATTATTGTTTCAAATAGGTTTTCGACTTCTTGTTCTCTCTCTTCTCCTTCTGGCACCCCCAAGATGCAAGTGTTGGCACCTTGAAGTTGTCCCAGAGGCTCCTTACACTATCCTCATTTTTTTTGTATTCTTTTTTCTTTTTGCTGTTCTGATCGGGTGTTTTTTGCTTCCTTGTATTCCAAATCAATGGTTTGGTTCTTGGCTTTACCTACTCTACTATTGAATCTGTGTAAATTATAAAAGATACTTTTTATCACATTAGGAAAAATGCACCTTATTTCTATCTTATAGGGTAATTTTTAAAAATCAAGAATGATTGTTGTTAATTTCGTGAAATACTTTTTCAACACCTATGTAGATGATCATTTGATTTTCACCCTGGATTCATTAATAATGAATTTTATGAATAGATTTTCTAATTTTCACCTATTCCTGAAATAAACCCCACTTGGTTGCTTTATATATGGTTACATTGAAACATACTTTCTACCATTGAGACAGAAAAAAATGTTTAATTCTTTCCTTTTAATTACAGATTTTCAGAATATAACTTCTTTCCCTCCCTTCCTCCTTCCCTCCCTTCCTTTTTTCCTTCCTTCCTTCCTTCCTTCCTTCCTTCCTTCCTTCCTTCCTTCCTTCCTTCCTTCCTTCCTTCCTTCCTTCCTTTCTTTCTGTCAATAGTCATCTCCAGTGGCAACAAATAAAATATTTTTCACCTTTTGGGGAAAGATTTTTTTTAAGTATCATTATGAACACATAGATTTTAATATATATTCTATGTGTTTTAATATATTATAGTCATTTTTTCTTTCTGGTGCTCAACTTGACCCAACTTTGGCTCCTGTGTTCTTCTGACATACTCTTTTAGTCTTTGAAAGCTTCATGCATTTTTTTTTTAAGGATTCTTAGTTCCTATTGGTGGAGATCAGTCATCTGAGAGCTAAGAATGCTTATAAATATTGTATTGTCATTCTTTCTAGGCTCTTTCATGACTACAAATATAATTTTAAAAATAATGAGTTCATATTCATAATTTCATGGCAAATATAATGTTTCAGGATTTTTACCTAATTCCTTGATTTTATATTTATATCTTTTTTTTCTTACACTGAAAATCTTGGTTCCTAACAAGATAGACACAATTACTTGT